GGGCTCCGATAGGCTCAGATCGACTGGCTCGATGGGTTTCGTAGTAAGACAAGCTGCCAAAGGAAGTGTGCTGTTGACACTCCCACTGCTTAATGTAGGATCCGCAGCAGCCTAGCTGTACTACTCGTTGGGGACATGCTTCAGAATGAGGTCGCTGTAGACCCTGCTTCCATTGTTCGCCGTCGCTGCTGGAGTCCGCCATGTAGACGTTGTCGAGAAACTCCAGGCCGCTCATCGCCTCGTTGCTGGGGTCTAGGAACTGAGCTGCGTCGGTTGGCTCGAACTCGAAATCAATCTTCTGGTGAATCGTGTCCTCGTCCAGCTCCTCTAGCAAGTCCACGGTGTAATGTCCTTGGGGCGAGAGGGTGGCTGCCTCGAACTCGCCCCCGTTCCAGGATACCATCTGCTTGGCGTAGTCAATTTGTACCCCGAACCCGAACTCCTCAAGCAATGGCGTGGGAAATACCATTGGAGTTCGTCCCGGTGCTTCGTAGATGTAGAGCGTCCCTGACTTCTGCTTGAAGCTGGCTGGTCTGGTTCCACACCACTGCGCGTACTCGACCTTACCGTTTCCGAATCGGAACGGTCTTCGACATTTGTAGAACCTATCATGGATGGGGTAGCCTTTCTGCTTGCAGTCTGCCACGTAGGCCTTGACCGTCTCTGAGCCCGACGTGAGTGTGGTGGTTCCACAGTCCATGACTCCGTTGCTGGCTGGGACCGCGCTGCTGCTGTTGACCTTCCCGTCCCAGTAGACCTCGTCAACCATGAGGCTCTCGTCGGGGTGACCCCTCTTCTTGTTGTGAGGCTCGGTGCAGTCCTTGACCCAGTGGCCTGGCTTCCCGCACCGCAGGCAGTTGGCCGATGGTGTAGACGTGTGCATTGGGTCTGGCCTGTCTGGTCGTGCTCTCACGTAGGCGCCGGGTGGTGATGAACCATTTGGGCTGCCCTTTCTTCCTTTCGACTTTCCGCGTCCTTTGGAACCTTTGCTGCTTGGCTTGCCTCGGCCGCCAATGACTCCAACCGGTGCTGCACTTGAACTTGATCCGCTTCCGACCCTCGCCACTACTGGGTAGAACCCTCGTGCTAACTTCAGGTCGTTGAACCGCTTCCTGGCGTCCGCGTAGGCCGCGTACACCTCGTCGTACTCACCGGGGTCGAGCTCGTGAGCCGCACTGGACTCGCGTTGGTAGTAGCTCTCGTCGCAGTCGTACCACGTGTCATCATCCTCCGCCCAGTACTCCTGCTCGTAGTCGTCCGTTCGCTCGTCCTCCAGTTCGACAGTGTAAGCTTCTTCTTCGTAGTCATCTCCTTCCTCGTCGACGAAAGATAGTCTTCGTGCGTGATTCGGCTCGTGGATGGTGCTCTCCTGCCCGAAGGTGGTCTCCAGCTCCAGCGCCTCGATCACTTTGTCCTGAGTGATGTCCTCGCCGACCACCGACATGATGACTGCCTTCTGGTCCGCATTGTAGCCGCCGCGTCGTAGCGTGAGCCAGCCTCGCACCTTGGCGGGTAGCTCGATGTCGTGCGTCTTGCTGCTCGAACTCGCGAGAGGTAGGCGAAGAGCGTCTCGCCCCTGTACCCCTTGAGCTTGTAGAAGTACTCCTCGAAATTGTCTGCGAGCTCGGTGCGATCGTCCATCTTGAATCGCTTCTGTAGTCTGTTCGTGAGCAGCTTCGCCGCGTTCGGCTTGATGAGGTCGTCCGCTGAGAGGTCCTCCACCTCGTCCCAGGCCTCGCCAGTGAGACCTGCGCTGTGCATGAGAGCAGCTTCGCCTTCCTTCTTCTCCAGCGAGAGCTTCGTTATGAAGATCATCGCCCGCTTCTCGCACTCCTTCCATTTGCTGAGGGTGCCGCCGAACTGTGGAGCTCCTCGCTCTGGTAGAATGTCCGATGATGTCGCCGTCTTCGCCGTCTGGTCGAAATCGAACTGCAAGGGGTCTATGAAATCAACCGTGAGCCGCCTTGAGAAATCTCCGAAATCTCCGGTAGGCTGGTCTATGAAATTGAACGGCAACGGGTTGTCGAAACTCAACCGCGGGAGCTCAACGAGATTCGCCGTTGAGTGGTTTCCGTAACCGAAGCTTATAGAGAGGTCGAGCATTTTCGTGAAAACGTCGCCGGGATAGGGAAGGTCGAAACGTGAGCCGGGGGAACCAGGCTCCGCTATCCATATGAACTTATCAAAGCCCTCGACGTCTCTGATGGCAATAAGAAAGATAAGAGCGAATAGCATCGGGATGTTTTCACACCGCTGCGCTGGTGACTCAAGGGCCCTGTCAAGGTTTGGGCCAAAAGACAGTGCGGTCGGGGGCTGCTCTTCGTCCCCCGCTCGTGATTGTAATGCAGTGCACGCTCTGCTATTCTCTTGCTATGCTGTCTACACAGATGTACAGCGTATACCTCACAGGGGTCGGAGTAGATGGGGTCGGCGGCATGCGCCGCAGGCCCGATGCATCGGCGATGCGGCTCGATGTGGAGCCTGTGTTTCCCCGCGCCGACGTCGCGGATGCGTCGCCGACGTCGCCGCTGCATCGCTGATGCACCGCTGATGCATGGCCGATGAATCGCCGATGTGTCGGCGATGCGGCGCGATCCTCCGACCCCATCTACTCCGACCCCATCTGGGAGGCGTCAAATGAGGCCATGGTGGAAACATGGATGATGAGCCTGTTTTCCACCACCACCACCACCAGAAGTTGGAGGGGGAGGAGGAGGAGGAGGAGGATGAGGAGGACGAGGAGGAGAACGAGGAGGAGGACCCCCCCCTCCTCCAACTTATGGTGGTGGTGGTGGAAAACACGCCCGTCAATGGACTCTCAACGTTGCTCCCGAGGCCTCCGAAAAAGTCCAGGCAGCCCGAGCACCACCTGGCAGTCCGCGCCCTCGGGGCGCCTGGGCCCCTCCGAGAACATTACTATGTTCAGGAGGAAAAGAAACACACAGACACAATGAATCCTCGATTTCCCAGAAAATATGGGAAAATATGGGAAAATATGGGAAGGGGGGGGGGGGGGTAGACAAAAACCCAGAAAATATGGGAAAATATGGGGGATCCTTTTACTTGTGTGTATATATTTGTGTGTCCCAGTTCCCCTTCATATGTTCCAGGAAGAGGACTCGAAGGGACCTGAGGTAACTCCACCGCGTGGATGGCGGCCCGGTGTCGGATTGACTTGGCTCTACTCCAGCTGAATCCAGCGTAATCTGGCTTAATCTAGATGGTTCCAGCTTAATCTGGTCAGTTCCGGCTCAATACCCGTCCGAATCGAGCCTGATAGCCCCTGATCGTTCCCACGATTTCCCCCCAGGAGCTGTTTCCTAAGGTCAGCTTGTTCCCAACAAGAGAGGTTTGGGTGCGACTCCCCTGTTGGGGTTTTAGTTGATGAAGTCGGAGTTGATGAAGTCGGAGCATCTCGCCGCATCGCCGATGCATCGGCGATGCAGCCTGATCTGGAGTCCGATCTTCTCCTTGCCCAGCCTTCCCGATACATTGCCGATGTATCGATGATGCTGTGTGATCTTCCGTTCCCATCTGCTCCGACCTTCTCCTCCGACGTTGCAATATTTCTTCGTTTTGTCGCCCCCCTGGACTTTGACCACTTTCCCAGGGACGTCTGTTCATCCCGATCTGTTTCCTGAGGGTTCGGTGCCAGGAATCGGTTTCCAGATGCCAAACAAGACGAACATCGGCCGTTACGATTTTATTGCGACGTCTGGATTTGAGGGGCTCCCATCCGAGTGGCTTCCAGTCGGCGGCGAGCGACGAGGGGAAGTGAGCAGGAGGAGGCCTTCTCAGAAGGCGGCGGGGCTTGACAGAAGACCCCCGGCCTTCTGAGAAGTCTTCTGTGTCTTCGGGGAAGGGCTTATCAACCGCTCAGAAGGCCGGGCGACTTGCAAGCCTTCTGTGATGGCCTGCCCCCGCTCACTTCCCCCCCGGGCTCGCCACCGATCCAGACTTCGGGGGGCGTCAGCCGACCACCTCCTCGATCCTGACCGGGCCCGTCGTGTGCCCGGGATCGGAGTGACCAGGATTGGTGAGGTGGTCAGTTGACGTTCCCCGATCTACTCCGACCACAGTTGGGCGGCCTCCAGGCTTCGAAGAAGAAAACAATAATAATAGTAAGAATAACAATAATAATCGTAGTAATAATAGTTTTAAGCATCATAAATATACGACTCGTACTAGTAATTTAAACATGAAAAATAACACGCAGAAGACCAATCGTAATCAGCTGCATCAACTTTCGGAGGTCCGAGCGGAGCGCGCCAGGGGCGGCGCCGGAGGCACCGCCAGGGGTGTCTGGCGTGGTGTCTTCTTCTAAGACTCCGCTTGCCAATCGTCCCCGACCCGACCTAAGTTTCCGCTTGGGGGGTGCACGGCCTCCGCTGTGTTTTCTCGATGCTCCACGACGCCCCCATGCTGGAAACTGGCAGGCCCGACGGCGCCTTCGGGTTGGGTTGGGGTGGTTAGGTGGGTAGTCACTAAGACTCAGGAGCAACGATAGGGGGGGGGGATAGGCTCTGGGGGGGGGGGTGCATCGGCCCCCAATCGCTGGTTGATCGCCGGCAGGGGCCCGATAGCCCACTCCCCCTGCCCAGGACCGTGCGTATTTGCTATCGAGAGTCTGTCGCCGATCTATCGGCGGAGCGGCCCCCCCCTCATGCTGCCCCTCAGAGACTCTACCAGCCTGAAGCCTATCCCTACGACTGGCATCGCCTCACCTCGACGACGAGCTCGAGGATTCCCCCAGCTTCTGAGGGCGCCCCCTGAGACTGTCGTCGCCGTTGGCCTTGGCAATCTTAGGGTTAAGTCGGGCCTGTCCCTCTACAGGGGAATCTTCAAAAACGGTGAGAAATAGTCCGGGGACGATTCTTTTGACCACTTCTGACTTTTTTTTTAAAGTTATTTTTTCGTCCAAGCTCCGCCTGTAAGGGGACACGCCCGACCTAATCTTAGGGCTAGGGGTGCTGCCCCTCGAGGCCTCCGCCCCCCGCAGCATGGCGTCGGCCCGCCTAGCCGCGGCCCTGCCCGGGCGCGCCCTCCGCCGCGCCCCCGGCGCACGGGGGCCGACGGCGGGCGCGCGCGCAGGCCCGGCCCACGCACACCGCCGCCGCGGGCCCTTTTTTGTTGGTTTTTGTTTTTTTTCCGCGTCGTCGAGGCTTTTGGATTCTCCTCCTCTGCCTCCTCCTCCGCCTCCTCCTCCTCCGCCTCCTTCTCCTTCGTCTCCTCCTCCTCCTCTTCCTCCGCCTCCTCCTCCTCCTCCTCCTCCGCCTCCGCCTCCGCCGCCTCCTCCTCCTCCTCCGCCTCCTCTTCCTCCTCCTCCTCCTCCGCCTCCGCCGCCTCTTCCTCCTCCTCCTCCGCCTCCTCCGCCTCCGCCTCCTCCTCCTCCTCCGCCTCCTCTTCCTCCTCCTCCTCCTCCTCCGCCTCCTCCGCCTCCTCCTCTTCGCGTCGTCGCGTCGCCTCTTCGCGTCGTCGCGCGGCGACGACTCGGGGCGGCAGACCGGCGCCTTGGGGCTCCCCTGTGCCTCGTCGCGCCGTCGAGGCTTTTTGTTCGGCGGCGAGTCCGTGGAGGCTCTTCGCGGCGCGAAGAAGCCTGGGATTCGGGTCGCAACTTTAAGTCGGACGTGAGCATTTTTTTTTTTTTTTTTTTGTTGTTGTTGTTGGTGTTGTTGTTGTCGTCGTCGTCGTCGTCGTCGTCGTCGTCGTCGTCGTTGTTTTGTTGTTGTTGTTGCTGCTGCTGCTGCTGCTGCTGCTGCTGCTGCTGCTGCTGGCTGCTGCTGCTGCTGCTGCTGTTGTTGTTGTTGTTGTTGTTGTTGTTTGTTGTTGTTGTTGTTGTTGTTGTTGTTGTTGTTTATTGTTGTTGTTGTTGTTGTTGTTGTTGTTGTTGTTGTTGTTGTTGTTGTTGTTGTTGTTGTTGTTGTTGTTGTTGTTGTTGGTTGTGTTGTTGTTGTTGTTGTTGTTGTTGTTGTTGTTGTTGTTGTTGTTGTTGTTGTTGTTGTTGTTGAACATTATTTATTCTAAAGAATAATTATTGTTGGGCCCCCTGGTGCGCGCCCCCCCTGCGCCGCCTAGGCCGCAGCTACATTTTCATCATTTTCGTGAGGAAGCCTCAGAAAAGAGGGTGTGTACAGGATCCGGTTGTTTTGTTGTAATCCGCTTTCCCTTGCAAAAAACAATAGAAAATGACATTTCTTGTTCTAATATAATCAAATTTCAAGAATCCCTTGCAAAAAATAAGGTAAAGTGGACATTCGCGCGCGCAAGACGAAATCCTTCCAAAACCTTAGTGTTCGCAGCGATTTTAACATAAAAACATCAAAAAACCAATGGTTTTTCAACAAAAAATTGTCAAAATCTCATCCCGCGCGCTCTTGCGGATTCGTAGGAAACCCAACACTTTTTAAACATTTCTGTCAAACGGGCTTTTGCGAGCAACTTTTTCGAACTTCTGCGACAACGGTTGCGCACCTGCCAGGGCCATCATCCCTGTCAAATAATACCATGCGGGACACATTCGTTTTTTCTTCGCGCGCGCACGCCGTCGTCGTCGGCCGCGGGGCCCTGAATAGTAGCCACGGTCGTCCGCATGCCACGAAGTGAAGTGTCCGAACGTCATAGGGCGGGAAGCTGGGTGTGGGTGGTGGCGAAGAGTCGTTTGGAAATTTGGTAGAGCTTGAACCGGCCCCCCCACAAAGTGGGGGTATTGCCCGCCTCCTATGAAAACCCTGGCACTGGTGAGAACGGAGTGTCCCCACGTGCTAGTAATTGTTGTTGTTGTTGTTGTTGTTGTTGTTGTTGTTGTTGTTGTTGTTGTTGTTGTTGTTGTTTTTTTTTTTTTTTTTGTTTTGGGTTTGTTTTTTTTTTATTTTTATTTTTACCGTTTTCGTCCAACATCCGCCTGTAGGAGGACACGCCCGACCTAATCGTAACTCGTGCCTCCGGCGGCCGCTTGGGACGATGTGAGCACCCCCGGGCGCTCTCGGCGAGGCGCGGCTGCAGGAAAGCATCCCGAGGCTGGAATTCCTCTGTGGGGACCGACGGACTGCAATACAGTAAACCATGATAGTAAGGATGGGGCAACTTTCCAAGGCTACCCTTGCATCCTTGCCCCTTCGGTATTCGGCATCCTTCGGCATTCTGCTGCACTCCGCACAGAAAACGTCAACATGGCGTTCCAACTGGTCGAGTGTAGAAAACGTCAGAAGACGGAGAAGAGGGTCCGTCCCTCGTGCCGGCGGCGAGCCCAGGGGGGAATGCAGAGGGGGCGGGCCTTCTCAGAAGGCTCGGGAAGGCCTCGTTTTCGAGTTTTAGAAAACCCGTTTTGTGAATCCAGAAACCAGTTGGTTGAATTAGAAAACCGCAGCCTTCCGAGAAGTTTTCTCCGCCTTTCCCGAGGACGGAGGCGCTCTCAGAAGGCCAGAGGGCTTCCGAGGAGCCCTGCCGCGCTCTGAGAAGGCCTGCCCACCCTCGCTTCCCCCTGGGCTTGCGTCGGGCCTGTCCCTCCACAGGGGGAATATTCGAACACAGTCGAGACATCGTCAGGGGACTATTTATTTTTGTATTTGCAGTATCTTTGATTTTTCGCCCAAGCTCCGCCTGTAGGGGGGCACGCCCGACCCAACCCTGGGCTCGCCGCCGATTCTTGGAGGTCCCTGACATCCTCTCGCCGTGACGGAGCAAACGACTCAGTGTGAGAAGCCAGTCCCCCGGGGAGGTGTCCAGGCTTCTGGGGAGCCACGGCGGGTGTCCAGGTTCTTCAGGCAGTTCTGAGCGTTTTCGTTTGCTCTCTGGGGCTTTCAGGTGCTTTGGTCGTTTGTAGGCGGGTTTTCCAGACTCGAGGTGCTTCCCTGCAGCGGGGGGTGCTGGGATCGCCCCGAACGGCGGCTGGAGACTCAGACTGTGACCTGAAAGCCAGGCCTCGTCGCGTCGTGAAAACATTGCATTGCCACGGAATGCTTGGAGCAATTCTCCGCCTTTGGGGGCCATGGTCTCGAGATCACAGGATTCCAGGACCCGGGTTCTGGGATCGAGATTTTGGGTGTGTCTTTTCGCCCTCGTGGGGCCTCCAGGGAGCTCTTCGTGGCCACGGCTGGGTTCCGTTCGAAGTTCTGCTCATAACGCTCACTGAGATGGGTCGGGGGGTCGTCGTGGGCGAAGAACACGTTCGTATCCGCGGCCTCGCGGGCCAGGCCCCTTGGGCCGCGACCCCGAGGATTCGGGACGTTTCTCCGCGGATGCCCCGCGCGGAACGCGTCCGCGAGGCCGCGTGCCCGCGGGATCGCGCCCCCGAATCCGGACCGCGAGGGCGCGGACACGGACCTGTCCGCCGCTCGCGACTCCCACTCGCAGCCTCCCCCCCCTCTGGCCGCCGCTTGCCAGGGTCCACTCCCTGTGTGTGGAGGCCGCTCCTCTCCTCCTATCCATCTATCCTGCTATCCTTCCTCTCGGCCCCAGTAGTGGAGGAGGAGGAGGAGGAGGGGAGGGAGGGAGGGAGGGAGGGAGGGAGGGAGGGAGGGAGGGAGGGAGGAGGAGGAGGAGGAGGAGGGGGAGGGGGAGGGGGAGGAGGAGGAGGAGGAGGAAAAAGAGGAAGAGGAAGATGAATCATACAAATAAGAATAATGATACTAGTATTATTAAGAAGAATAATAATACGAAGCATACCACGAATAATACGACTACTAAGAATAATACGAATACGAATACGAGTAATACTATTAAGAGCAATCATACACATACTACTAATAATGCTATTACTAAGAAGAGTATTAATAAGACTTATCAGAAGAAGAGTAATAATAATATCATTAATACTGTTAATACTACAATTATTATCAATCATAAGAATACTACTACTACTACTATTACTACTACTACTATTACTACTACTACTACTACTAATAATAATACTATTAATAATACTAATACTACTAATAATACTGATAATACTACTGATAATAATAATAATCATAAGAATTATAATAATAATCATAATAATAATATTATTAAGAATAATAATAATAATACAAATAATAATAATAATACTAATAATATTACTACTCCTACTACTAATAATAATAATATTGATACTACTAATACTACTACTAATAATACTAATACTAATAATAATAAGAAAAGACGAATAATATTATTATTATTATTATTATTATTATTATTATTATTATTATTAATAATAATACTAATAGTAGTAATAATAATAATAATAATAATAATAATAATAATAATAATAGGAGGGGGAGGAGGAGGAGGAGGAGGAGGAGGAGGAGAAGGAGGAGCAGGAGGAGGAGGAGGAGGACCGAGGAGGAGGAGGAGGAGGAGGAGGAGGAGGAGGAGGAGGAGGAGGAGGAGGAGGAGGAGGGGAGGGGGAGGGGGGCAAGCTAGGTGCGCTCGCGTCATATCTGACATCCTACTCCTCCCTCCCATCCCTTACCATGGCGCAGATCCCCTCTCTACTCGCACAGTCGGATGTCAAGCAGGGCGATGATCCCGAAACGGTACGCGATGCATTGTAGAGCACGGCGTGGCATGGCGTAGAAGAGCACCGCGCGAAGTATCAACCTAGCATTGCATTGCATGCCGTGGCATGGCACGGGAAATGACGCCAGCGCTGCAGCGGGAGCACGAGTCGAAACGAGCGGAAGTGCGGAAATGAGGCCAGCGCTGCAGCGGGAGCACGATTCGGAACGAGCGGAAGCGCGGAAATGAGGCCAGCGCTGCAGCGGGAGCACGATTCGGAACGAGCGGAAACACGGAAATGAGGCCAGCGCTGCAGCGAGAGCACGACTCGGAACGAGCGGGGCCCGAAAATGAGGCCGGCGCCTCAGCGAGAGCAGCCTTTTGGGAATTAACTCCGGGGAAGGCAGAAATTCAACACTTTCAAAAGAATAAATTGCATTGGAATGGTCTTTTTTTTCGGCGCCGCCTCGGAACTCTATTTTCTGGCGCCGGCCGGAACCGGCTCCGGACCCGGTCTGGGCGCCGGCCCGGGCGCCGGCTCGGTCGTCCAGCCCGGGCGCTGGCTCGGGCGCCGGCCTGGGCGTCGGAATCGGCTTGGGGGGCCTCCCGGGCGCCGGAAGCAGAAATTCATTATTTTCAAAAGAAAAATGTGTATTAGAATGGCTTTTTTTCGGCGCCGCCTCGGAACTCGATTTTCCGGCGCCGGCCGGAACCGGCTCCGGACCCGGCCCGAGCGCCGGCCCGGGCGCCGGCTCGGGCGTGCAGCTCGGGCGCCGGCGGAAATGAGGCCAGCGCTGCGGGAGCACGATTCGGAACGAGCGGGGCCCGAAAATGAGGCCGGCGCCTCAGCGAAAGCAGCATTCTGGAAAAAAATGCAAGCGGAAACCCAACTCCGGGGAAACTTGTGTGTAATTATCCCGGCAAAGCAACCTAACAGCGATGTGTAGGAGCATATTTGGAAGCATTCCCTTTAAGATTCAGATGATAATCCAGTTGTAGGATTCTGCTGTTCTCGCAGTCGTAGTCGCATTCGCGATGACAGTCGCAGTGGCGACGGCAGTCACAGTCACAGCCTCAGCCTCAGCCTGCCTCAGCCTCAGCCTCAGCCCGCCTCAGCCTCAGCCTGCCTCAGCCTCAGCCTCAGCCTGCTTCAGCCTCAGCCTCAGTCTGCCTTCAGCCTCGGCGTCAGCCTCAGGCTGCCTCAGCCTCAGCCTGCATCAGCCTCAGCCTCAGCCTCAGCCTGCCTCAGCATCAGCCTGCCTCAGCCTCAGCCTCAGCCTGCTTCAGCCTCAGCCTCAGCCTCAGCCTGCTTCAGCCTCAGCCTCAGTCTGCCTTCAGCCTCGGCCTCAGCCTCAGCCTGCCTCATCCTCAGCCTGCCTCAGCCTCAGCATCAGCTTGCCTCAGCATTCAAAATGTGGCCCGGGAATGGAAATTCTTGGAGCTCGAAGAACACGAAGTGGCCTACAGTTGGCTCCGGGCATTCAAAATCATGCGCAGGAATGGAGTTCTGGGAACTCGAAGACCACGAAGTGGCCGGCAGTTGGCTCCGGGCATCCAAAATGTGGCCCGGGAATGGAGTTCTGGGAACTCGAAGACCACGAAGTGGCTTACAGTTGGCTCCGGGCATCCAAAATGTGGCCCGGGAATGGAGTTCTGGGAACTCGAAGACCACGAAGTGGCTTACAGTTGGCTCCGGGCATCCAAAATGTGTCCCGGGAATGGAGTTCTGGGAGGTCGAAGAGCACGAAGTGTGTGACTGTTGGCGAAAAGCGAGCCCGGCTCTGTTCCCGGTTCTCCAGAATGTGTCCCGGGAATGGAGTTCTGGGAGGTCGAAGAGCACGAAGTGTGTGACTGTTGGCGAGAAAGAAACGATTTCCGGTTCTCCTCCCCGGCACCCGCCCAGACCCCCTTGAGGAGTCATGATGCTCTCTTTTGACCCTACTAGAAACCTATCAGCAAAAGCTGTTAGGTAAAAAGCAGTACGCGGGGGGGGCGGATATTCCCAAGACGTCATCAGGGGAAGAGGGAGAGTAGTATTCATCTTGAGTAATTGTGGAGGAGGAGGACGGGGGGGAGGAGGAGGAGGAGGAGGAGGAGGAGGAGAAGGAGGAGGAGGAGGAGGAGGAGGACCGACTAAGAATACAAAGAAGACGAATCATAATAAGAAACATGATAAGAAGACGAATAGTAATACTACTAAGAAGAATCATAAGACAACCAAAAAGAACAAGCAGAGTACTACTACAAATATCAATAAGAAAAATAATAACACGAATAATGACGCGAACGAGAATTCTAACTATGAGTAGTAATAAAAAAATTAAGAATAAGAATAATACGATGAAGCATGATATTGCTATGACAAATTATCATTGTGCGACCCTACCTAAGAGTTGAGCCCCTAGGAAAGCAACATTAGAAGTAACAACCAAGTTAAATTACAACTAAGCTAAAGCTAAGCTACAACTAAGCTAAACCTAAGCTACAACTAAGCTAACGCTAAGCTAAAGCTAAGCTAAAGCTAATCTAAAACTAAGCTAGAGCTAAGCTGAAGCTAAGCTAAAGCTAAGCTAAAACTAAGCTAAAGCTAGCGTGGAGCTAAGCTAAAGCTAAGCTAAAGCCTAGCTGAAACTAGGCTAAAGCTAAACTAGCGCTAAGCTAAAGCTAAGCTAAGTCTAAGCTACATCTAAGGTAAATCTGAGCTAAAGCTAAGATACTTCTAAGGTAAAGCTAAGGTACAGCTAAGGTGAAGCTAAGGTACAGCTAAGAAAATTCTAAGTTAAAGCTAAGGTAAAGCTAAGCTAAAACTAAGCTAAAGCTAAGCTAGAGCTAAGCTAAAACTAAGCTAAAGCTAGGCTAAAGCTAAGCTGCAGCTAAGCTAAAGCAAAGCTAAAGCAAAGCTAAAACTCAACTCAAGCTCAGCTAAAGCTAAGCTAAAGCTAAAGCTAAAGCTAAAGCTAAAGCTAAAGCTAGAGCTAAAGCTTCCAGGGGACTGGGGGGGCCTCTCCCAGGGGACTGGGGGAACCGCCCGGGGCGGGTTGCACTGCCCGGCCCCTGTAAGCTAGAGAGTAAGAGCCCATCTAGGCAGAGCCTAGGTAGGGAATAATACTACGACGAATAAGAGTAATACTAGTAATAGTATCGAAAAGAAGACTACTAATAATACTAAGGATAATAACATTAATAAGAATAGTAATACGAAGGAGAAGAGTAATAGTACGAAGAATATGAATAATAAGACGAATAATCAGACACATACTAATACTAGTAAGTGATACTAATAAGAATAAGACGAAGAAGACGAACACTAAGACGAACATTAAACATAAGAACAATACTAATAGTAATAATAAGAATGATATGACTAATAGTAGTAGTAGTAATAATACTACTACTAATAATAATAGTAGTACTAACAATAACAATAACAATACTAAGAATAATACGAAGAATAAGAATAAGACTAATCAGAAAAAGAGTATTAATAATAATAGTAATAATAATAAGAAAAGACGAACAATAAGAATAAGAAGAATAAGAAGAGGAGGGGGAGCAGGAGGAGGAGGAGGAGGAGCAGGAGGCGGAGGAGGAGGACCGAGGACCGAGGAGGAGGAGGAGAGAGGAGGAGGAGAGGAGGAGGAGGAGGAGGAGGAGGGGGGAGGGGGGGGGGGGAGGGGGGGGGGGGGGGGGGGGGGGGGGACGGGGGGGGAGGGGAGGGGGAGGAGGAGGAGGATGAGGAGGAGGAGGAGGAGGAGGAGGAAGAGGAGGAGGGGGAGGAGGAGGAGGAGGAGGAGGAGGAGGGGGAGGTGGTGGAGGAGGAGGAGGAGGACCGACGAATAATAATAATAATACGAATACTAAGAAACATAATAAGAAGACAAGAAGCAGATTATTAATACGAATAATAAGACAACTAATAAGAACAATAAGATTACTTATGCGAATATAAATAAGAATAATAGAATATGAAAATGCTTGATAAACATTATGAATAGTAATATGGATATTAAGAATACTCAGAAAATGAATCATCATATTAATAATACGAAGAATACGACGACGAATAACAAGTGGCACGTGTGCCATGGCTCTTGCACAAAAAGGAAGGCGGAGGAGGATGATAAGGAGGGTGGGGGGGGGAGGCGGGAAGAGGGGGCAAGGCATCGCCCTCTGGGCCCAGCAACGGGGCCCAAGTCCCAGGTGGGGAGGGTGGGTGAGGCGGCGTGCGTCGCGACGCGGAATAAAGTGCTCGGAGCGGAGGGGGCACGGGGCGGAGGTCCCACTGGGGCACTGGGGGCGCGGAGAGGAGGGGGGGGAGGTGGTGTGCGTCGCGACGCGG